TGTGTGTGTGTGTGTGTGTGTGTGTGTGAGAGAGAGAGAGAGAGAGAGAGAGAGAGAGAGAGAGAGAGAGAGAGAGAGAGAGAGAGAGATGCACTGGTTCTTATCCTGTCCAACTTGCTGTTGAAGGACTTTGACTTCGATCTTGTGGACCTTGCTGTTGAAGGACTTTGACTTCGATCTTTCATCTGGTGGACTTTGACTTTGACTTTGATCTTGTGGACTTTGACTTTGACTTCCATCTTGTGGACCTTGCTGTTGAAGGACTTCGACTTCTCTCTTTCATCTGGACTCTAGAGCAAATTCCACACGATAAGAACAACAAGTTCCACTTGAGCCATCTCTTGCCAGATGAAAGATCGAAGAGGGACGCTCAATTTCATCAAAATTTTGATGAAAGGCGATTTAAGAACGCTGGACGCTCAATTTTATCAAAATTTTGACCTGGCTCGGGCGGATTCAGGGCTGGCCTAATTAGTCGGTTTCAATTTCGTTCAAAAAATATAAAAAATGTTCTCGACGAAATTGCAGTTAAAGCTAGTTATTTTCCGATGTTCCACCCCAGATGCACGTTGTGTCTGCTCTTACCAGCACCACTAACACTGGAAGGGGCGGTTAAAAAAATAATAATAAATTAATAATACGATAAAAGTAAAGAAATATGTAAAATGTTCGGATGTTGCACCCCAGGTGCAAGTGGTGTCTGCTCTTACCATCACCACTAACACTGGAAGGGGCGGTTAAAAAAAATAATAATAAAAATTAAAAATAAAGAAATAAATAAAATGTTCCGATGTTGTACCCCGCTGCTCCCGCGTGCAAGTGGTGAGTGCTCTTACCAGCACCACTAACATTGGAAGGGGCGGTTTAAAATAAAAAAAAAGGTTCCTATGTTGCAGCGACAGGGGCTGGCTTTGTTGTGATGCCCATGTTGTATACTGAAATGCAACTGCTTACGATCGTTGTGGTTGGGGACAAAATTTTCAGTACCTGGTCATGTAAGACTTTGTCGGTGGTCAATTTCCCATCTCTCCGCTTTCAATTTTTTGTTTTTTTTGGGATCTCTCCGGTTTCTGCCAGTGGCACTGGCTTGCTCCATTCTGCTAGCCTGTGCTACGGTAGCCAAATCCAGCAACTGCCACGTGCTGGATTAGCCTAGGCACAGCCTATCAGAGTCGAGCAGCCAGTGTGTGGCGGACCCACCAGGTGTGGTGCTCCGCTAGTGACAGAGGTGGAGATGGAGGGAGAAGGAGGGAGCAAGGTGCACAGCGCAGCTCCCCACGCAAGACTCCAACGCACGTACTCCAAAATGTGCAAGTGAAGAATGAATCTGAAAACAGACAATGGCTGGGGTATACCCCAGCGGACTGACGGGACTGGACTGGACTGGCTGGTACCGACAGAGGTACCGGCCTGGACTGGCC